ATCTTTCTTGAACTGGGGAGCCCAGAACTGGATGCAGTGCTCCAGGTGGGGTTTCCCCAGGGCAGAGCAGAGGGGGAGGAGAGCCTCCCTTGCCCTGCTGGCCACGCTTCTCTTAATGTGCCCCAGGATGCCGCTGGCCGCCTTGGCAACAAGGGCATTAGCAGATGTTCAGGGTTGCTTGAGCACATCACCCAAGTGTTGATGTGAGATACCAATTTTCTCGGGTCAAGGCGCTTTGTTTAGACTTTACTTAGGAAGCATTTCTTTACCGAGAGGGTGGTCAAACCCTGGAACAGGCTTCCTGTAGAGGTGGTTAATGCCCCAAGGCTGTCAGTGTTTAAGAGGCATTTGGACAATGCCCTTAACAACATGCTTTAACTTTTGGTCAGCCCTGAAGTGGTCAGGCAATGGAACTAGATGATCCTTGTAGGTCCCCTCCACCTGAAAACATTCTATTCTATTCTATTCTATTCTATTCTATTCTATTCTATTCTATTCTATTCTATTCTATCCCATCCCATCCCATCCCATCCCATCCCATCCCATCCCATCCCATTGTCTTCTGTTGATGCTGATGCCTCGAACAGTTCCCTGTGCATGGGCACAGACCCTTTATATGCTGCCTGCGTGCACATGTGTTTAGAGCAGCTCCCAGTCTCAGCTGCATGGGCTTCAGCACAAATTCAGTGTGACCAACCTTAGCAGCAAATCAAAAGGATTAACAGATCCAGAGGTGAGCTCTGCAGGGCTGGGACATGTCCAGAGAGGAGCTGCTCTCTTCTGGCATTCACTTTGAGGCTGGACGTACTGAACACCCTACTTCTTTGCTTCATTTTTTGCAACATCTAACTTCTGCCATTGATTCATCTGTCCCATGGCTGGTTCCAAGGCAGGTGGGATGAGGGATCGTCGCTTCCCTCTCCCACCCTGTTTTGCAGTTTTCAGGTGTTTAATTTTTGCAATGTCCTGATGCTCCATCCTGACTTTTCAATATCCAAATGGTCACGCAATCCAGCCCTGAAGTGATAAACCCTGAAGGCACGCATCCTGCCCTTTTGTAAATGAAATGTTCAGAAGAGCTCACCACCCCCAAAGCATTAATTCTGCACAAAAAATGTAGGAAAATTCAAGGTTTTGCCACTTTTTATAGATTGATGTTTTGCCAAATGCCTCTTTCATATGCAATAGGTTTTCCCTTTTCCTTTCAGTTTTTCCTCTGGTCCTGCTGAGGAACCTGCGTCATCCCGTCTACCTGCTGGTGGTGTTGGCTCAGGTCAACCTCTCTGCCATGGTTGCTGGTTTAGCAACGTTCATGGGGAAGTTCCTGGAGAGACAGTTTTCCCTCACGGCATCCTTGGCCAACATGATCATTGGTAAGTGTCGCTATCAAGGCTTGACAGCTTTTGGGCACTTCTTAAAAACTAACCTAGAGATTGATGTGAAGCACCTTTCCCTCCGGAGCCGGGCTCCTTCCATTACCTAC